CCCGGAGCCCCCGGCCGGCCCGCGCCAGGCGCGCGCCCGCGGCCCGGGGGCGCCCCTACCTGCCCGTGCGCGACCGCGGGCGCCTCCGCCGCCTCCCGCGCCTTCGTCGGCCCCCTCGGGAGGGGGAGGGGGACCTCCGCGCGTCACTTCCTCTCCCCGCCCCCCCGGCGCGTCACCGCCCCCCCGCGCGGCTGGGCGGGCCGCGCAGGCGGAGGCCCGTCCGGGGCAGCTCGGGGCGCAGGGAGGCTGCGCGCATCGCATCGCATCCATGGCATCGCCCCCTCCCGCTTCCCCCCCGCGCATCGGCCCGCGGGGAGCCCGCCGCCCCCTTCGCGCAGCGCGGCCCCCCAGCGCCCCCCGCGTGTGCGTGGGACCCGCCGCCCGTGGCTGCAGGGGACCCGGCGGCGGGCCGAGGCCGCGGTGCCACGAGGGGGACCGGCCGGGACAGCGGGGAGCGCGCACACGAAGCCCCCCCCCCCAGCCTGAATGCCCGTCCCACACCTCCTGAGGGGGCCACCCCAAGCGGCCGTGGTGGCCGCCCTGCTCCTGCGACGATCCCCCGCTGCAGCCCACCTGCCACCCGTCCCAGCAGCTTTTCAGTACCCCTTAGATGTCGTTGCTGCTAGTTGCGAGGTCGTGCCCGACCCATCGCGACCCCATGGACCACATTCCTCCAGGCCCTCCTGTCCTCCACCATCCCCGGAGGCCACCCAACCCCACACCCGCCTCCCCAGGGACCCCGTCCAGCCACCTCATCCCCTTCTTCTTCTGCCATCCATTGTTCCCGGCATCAGGCTCTTCTCCAGGGAGCCCTTCCTTCTCATCAGGTGGCCGAAGTATTTGAGGTCCATCTTCAGGATCTGGCCTTCCAGAGAGCAGTCGGGGTTGATCTCCTCCAGGACTGACCGGTTTGATCGCCTTGCGGTCCGAGGGTCTCGCAGGAGCACAATTCAAAGGCCTCAGTTGTTCCTTCTCAGGTGGCCAAAATATCTGAGCTTCATCTTTAGGATCTGGCCTTCTATGGAGCAGTCAGAGTTGATCTCCTGTAGGGCTGACTGGTTTGATCTAAGATTAACTGGTCTGATCTCCATTGAGCTCCATCTCCAGGATCTGGCCTTCCAGAGAGCAGCCAGGATTGATCTCCTCTAGGACTGACCGGTTGGATCACCTTGCGGTCCAAGGGACTCGCAGAGTCTCCTCCAGCACCACAATTCAAAGGCCTCAATCCTTCAGCGCTCAGCCTTCCTTATGGTCCAGCTTTCACAGCCATACATTGCAACTGGGAAAACCACAGCCTTGACTATACGCACTTTGGTTGGCAGGGTGATGTCTCTGCTTTTTAGGATGCTGCCTAGATTGGCCATTGCTTTCCTCCCCGGGAGCAAGCGTTGTTCATTTCTCGGCTGCAGTCCCGTCTGCGGGGCTCTTGGGGCCAGGAAAATCCCCTTAGATGAGACCCGTCAGCGGCTGTAGCAGGTCTAGTTTTTCATGACTTTCCGTGTGGGGCGGCAATATGCCGTGCTCGCTTCCTGAGTCGGAGGAATAAGCCCACCCCGTTTTTCTCGCACTGCTGAAGCCTGTCCAGAGCAGTCCAGCTAAAGTGTTACGTCTCTCTGTAAAAGAAATTGAAGGGTGATTTTAGGCCGGGCGGCCCTGCAGCGCCCCCACGGCCGCCCAAAGGAGGGATCTCCTGCGTGAGAGTGGGGCAGAGCGGATGGAAGCCTGGGGATGCGATCCCCGCAAAGCACGGTCGATCGTGGGGCAGCTGGGGAGCTTGCCCGCACCCCCCGGCCGAGGACGGGCGCCTGCCTTGCAGGGGGCGACGCGTGTCCTGCAGGCCGATCCGGTTGACCCACCAGCGTGGAGACCGGACTTCTGTGGGGCGAGAGCCCACGCGATTTCTCTTCGCTTCCGCTTGCTCTTCTCCTGGTGAAGACCCCGCCTGGCGTCCACTGGCGGGCTTCCCCTGGGAATCATGGGAGGGTCGAGCCGGGAGGGGCCAGGAAGGCCGGCGGGCCCTCCCCACTGCTGGCCCAGGTCCCCGGCAGACACGGCTCACTCTGCCCCGTGACCCACACGCTCCATCTTGGCGGGGTCACCAGGTGGGTCCGGCCACAGCAGGGTTCTGGTTTCACGCACGTTTTCGGAGCCTTCGTTTCTGCCGGTCTAGGGTTCCTCTGTCCCAGATGTGACCCAAAATGCAGGGGGCAGCTGGCTTGCCGTCCGCGGCCTCTCCGGGCCCTCCTGGGGGCCCAGAGCGGTGGGCCTCCCCTAAAAACAGTCAGGGTCAGACGCGCCCGTGCTGGCAGTGCCCCTTCCCACCCTTCCCAGAGAGGCCGGCGGAGACCTGGAGCCTTGCTGGATCTGTCAGCAAGACTGTGCCCGGCTGCTGGGTGGCTTCCGGGGAGGATGGAGAAGGGGACCAGGAGAGGGGGCCGTGCTGGCAGCCCAGGGGGGCCACCCCGCCAGACTCGGGGCACGGAAGGACTCCTCCAGGGAGAGGCCACGGGTGGTCGAGCTCCATCTCTGGGTGAGCCCACACCCCTCCTCGCCTGCTCGCTTTGGGGGCAGCGATTGAGGGAAGCAAATCTGTCGAGAGCCGAGCAAGCCAAGGGATGTAGTGGAAGAGGAAACATCCCAGCCCCCCCCCCTTTCCTTTTTTTGATGTTTTGCGAGAGGGATCCTCCTCGGAGAGGTTTGCCTCGGAGGCTGGCCCAGCCAGCAAGGAAGAGAGGGGCTAATTGCCGCTAGGAAAAGACTTGCGGGGGGGGGGGTTGTGCTTGGGGGGAGGAAGCCCTTCCGAGGGAGGTCAGCCCCAGAGCCGAGGGGCCGGCCTGGGAACAGGAGAGAGGCCGGCCTGGCAGGGTGTCTTTGCCTGGACGCGGCCGGTTCGCTTGAAAAGGGCCAGGACCACCCAAGTGGAGCCTGCCGCATTGTCCCCACGAAAAGGGGCCTGGGGATTATGGGGAAGTTGATTCACTGCTGTGTGAGGCTCCGGCTGGGGGCAGGAGTGGGGTGGTCATGTGAGGCCCCAAATGTCCAAGCCCCCTTCTCCTGAAGCGGTTCTGGCTTGGGCCGGAGGAAAAAGAAACGCGGCGAAAAGCACCGGGGACAAAATCTATGGGGCCACTTTTCTTCTGAAAAAGCTTTGAGGAACGGGAGGCATCGTTGTCCACTCCGTGCCCCTCGCCCCTGGGGTTCGGGTTGTGGGGAGGAAGTGGGTAGCCACTTCGGGATGTGAGGAAGCACTCTGCACATGCTCAGAGACCTCCTGCTGCACAGCAGCACCTTGCCTCTGGGAAGCAAAAGCACGGGGCGATCTCAGGAGCTGAGGGGCTGCTCCCGTTCCCTTGAGGCTTTCATTCCTGTGAGACATTTCCCAACAGCCCTTTGGGGCCAGAGCCACGACTGCCACGGGACCATCGCGGAAACAGGCCACGTGCCCCAGCGAGCCCTTCACGGGCCGGGCTGAGCACCTGCTCTTGCCGACGTCCCCGGACGCCATCCGGCCCTGCCCGCCATGCCGCAGCTTCCTCTCTCGAAGGGACTGAGCAGTCCTGGCCTCGCGGGAACGACAGACCCCGTTTGACGGAGCCCTGGGGGACCCTGCTTGCGGCCGAGAGGGCGAACGCCACCCTTGGTTGCATAGCCAGAAGTGTGGCTTCCAGATCGAGAGAGGTGTTACTGCCACTCTGTGCAACTCTGGTGCGCCCACAACTGGAGTATTGTGCTCAGTTTGGGCCCCTCGTTACAGGAAGGATACAGCCAGGTTGGAGTCAGTGCAGCGCAGGGCCACGAGGTTGGTGGCCGGTTTGCAGGGGAAGCCGTATGGGGCGAGACTGAGGGAACTGGGTCTCTTCAGCCTGGAGGAGAGGAGACTCCGAGGGGGGCTGTTGGTGACATACAGGTATGTGAGGGGATGTCACACGGAGGTGGGGAGACATAGAAACAGTTCGAGGCAGAAGGGGTTTCCTGGGCCATCTAGTCTGACCCCTGGCTCCAGCCGGCTCACTCATGACATGCCCACCATGTGCACGTCCAGCCTATCCTTAGACACCCGCACCGATGGGGCCTCAACAACCTCCCGTGGAAGCCCATTCCACACCCTCGGGGTCCTAACCATCAGGAAGTGCTTCCTGGCATCTAAATGGAAGCTTGGACCTGTTCTCCCCTGCAGAGGAAGGCAGGACGCCTCCAACAGAGCCAAGCTCAAGGAGCCAAGGTTCAATTTGGATGCCAGGGAGCACTTCCTGACAGTCAGGACCCTGAGGGTGTGGAATGGGCTTCCCCGGGAGGTCGCTGAGGCCCCACGGTGGGGGTGTTCAAGGACAGGCTGGACGTCCACATGGTGGGCATGTGAGCGGAGCCAGCTGGAGCCGGGGTCAGACTAGATGGCCTGGGAGACCCCTTCTGACTCGTTCTGTTTCTCTGATGCTGAAGTGGGCCACCTCCTCCGACAGGCCAGCCACCCTGCTGGGCTGCTTGCCACAGCCATCCTGGGGGTCCCCAAGGTAGCCGGCCTGGACGGGCAGGGCCTGGAGTGGGAGGAGCTGGTGGGACGCTTTGCGGGCTGCTTCTGGAGTTCTCCAGAGCAGGTGCAGGGGGAGAACGAAAGCTGCGGAACGCCTTGGGGGCCTTTCCCCACCTCCCCACGGCCACCTTCACCAGCGGCTCCAAGGCGGCGGGACGGCCAGCAAGGCCTCCCAGAGACCGGAGGCCAAGCCTCCACAGCTGCTCCCTGCCAGGAAAGGGCAGCTTCTGCATCACCAGCCTCCCCTTCTGGGGACAACGAGGATGACCATGGCCTCGCTAAGCGCTCGACGAGGGCCGCCCCGCAGAGGCAGAGCCGGATTGCCAGCTGAGCCCCGGCATACGGCTCCCCGTGCAAATGCTCCAGCAGGGCCTTTCTGCAGCCACAGAAGGGCCCCGAACAGGCACCTTTTTCTGCAAGCTGTCTTGAAAAGGTGGTGGTGATGTCGACCTCCAAGTATTTAAAATAAATTGAAATGCATACGTGGACTGGTGGTTGGGGCCGGGCCTTCCTCTGCTGTTCGGCTGTGTTCGCACTGGTTTCATTTGGGGTTTACTGATTATTGTTATTATTTGGAAGT